ACACACAGGCAATTGAGTAACAACCAATAAATAAGTTGGAAGGTATTTTGAAAAGTGAAATTTGGTTTTAACTAAATAGGTACTTTCTTTCTTTCTTGGTGGAACTAAAAAGCCCATACATGTACAGATAAGTACAGTTTTACAAACCAGCTGATCTGACTTGCTTCCAAGCCATTCCAATGCAGCTGTTCAGCAGAAGGAGCCCCATGGATCCACATTCCCCCCACAGTCTTCAGTCCCAAACCAGCATCCTCAGGACCAACCCAAAGGATATTTGGCCACATAAATGCTGTCTGCTTTGAACATACAGGTTGGGTGGGATATCTTTTTGATGGGAAAATTTTGTCATACAAGTAGCAGTGATAAGAAACCCTGTGGTAATGAACTCATTTCTTTTTTTAAAGAGATTGAGAAGAAATGGTGCTCATATACCATATAAGGGAAGAGACAGATATTAGGTTGAGGAGCATTTTCTTGATGGTTAAAATAATTCAGATTTGACATAGACATATTTCCATGTGTGCTTATACCGTATTTATTTGTGTCATTTCCCATCTGTAATGATCCCCGTAACTCCTCATTCTTAATTTTGAGGAAAAGATACAAGATAGCACCACTATAACTTCACATTATTTCCCCCAGTGGCTTAGTGACAGCAGTAGACTCATTGATGAGTGGAAATGCTTTGTCTGTGTTTTGAGACCAGATTTGAATGCTGGAAGGAGTTAGCATGTACCTAAGTGAAAACCTGGAACAATATTTATTTCTCCCTTTAAACCTTTATTAACTCTTGCCTTGTGCTGAGTATGGGATGACATGAAAAGCATGGGCTATCATTGCCCTTTGGCATTAAAGCTTTTCCACAAATTGCTTCTAAAGAAACAGTTCTTTTCCTATAATTTTAGTACCTACATCAGGAAATAGTACATTTACTTTTAGAACTTCAGCAATTATTTTTTCAGCAATGTAATTCGGAAAATCTACATTCCTCCTCCCCCCCAAAAAAATAAAGAAAAGATGGCTTGGATTTTGGAAATTGACTTTGGAATCTCAGATGGCACACCAATTTGCATGTGTACTACACAGGGAAATTTCTTTGAAATATAATAGCTCCTAAGAAATATTGATATCCCCTTCATTTGTGTGTGTAGGAAAAGAGGGGATTTGTTAAATATGTAAACACAATTAATAACTATTGATAATAAGCGTTCCACAAAACTGGGAAGTTATGGGCGGAGAAGGTTTTTTCTTTCTTTCTTATGACTTCCAGGTGTTTGTATTCGTTGAGCCATAGTGGAAATTACACACAGGAAAGAACAAAAGAAAAAAGCAGGAAAAAAAAAAACCATACCAAAAGGAACCCTTGAGGAATAAATGAGTTAACTACTGCTCATGTCTCCCAGGTGGTCCTTAGCTGCTTGTGGGGCACTGTCTAAAGCCCCACCCAGTGCTAGGCACAGAGGCCACTGAGTAAACACAACGGCTGATTGGTTCTTCTAGGGACACGACACACAATTCTGAGTAAGACTCCTGTGGCTAAAGGACATAGCCTCTGACAGGAGACGAAGAGCCCTTGCAACTAAAGCCCTACCATGGCCCCGCCCCCTCCCACCAGGGCAGGTAAGGATGCAGAACTCCGCCCCCATGTTCCATGGCAAAATCTCTGCACAAATACAGAGGAAATCATGCAAGTAAATACGGTATGTAATTGTTATCATTGACCTTTCTTTAAGCCATACTTATAAATATTTGAAAGTAAACAACATGAGTGACTTTCATTAGCTATGGTCTTTCATACTGAAATATTTTGACTGATCTGAATAAGCAGGTTATCATGGAAGCACATAACATAACAGCTAATATGATTCCAGTGGGTACAACACAAGTGTCAGTACTTGGTACATAAATCTATCCCATCATTTTCCATTACAAGATGCTGTGCAGAGCATTAAACATGCATCTTAGCTTTTATTTGTACATGATGGTTCAACATTTCACTTAAATATAACTTTCCAACTATATAAATGTTTTGAAGCAATTACGGTTTTCATTTGGATTTCCATGTTCTTTTCTTCTATTAAATCTCTCTCTACTTCTTTTCTTTTTTACATGGGATACAATAAATATCCTGAAAAGGAGGAGTGGACGTACTGCCCGGCGTACAGCCCCGCGGCCTGTTCTGAGGGCATCTGGAGGAACACCCGGTCTCCGGGCCTGAGCAGCAGCACCGCGCTCCCCGACGCCTGGTCCAGGAAGCCCTTCTTGTACTCGTCGTACGTGTACATCATGGGCTCGTTGTTCTTGAACAAAGCAACCCACACGTTGCCCCCCTTGCAGTGAACGTGGTACGCAAAGTAGTAGACGCCCGGGACTTCGCAGGTGAAGATGCCTGTCTGCGGGTTGTAGTTCTGTCTGCCGTTATAGAGCAGTTTGTCAAACTTCACTGGGGCCCCCACGGGTGGGAAAGGTGCAGTCAGCTCAGCGGTAAATGCAGGCATCT